GTCCCTGGGCGCCCCTTGATTGAGGCCTCTTTGTCCTTAATGCGGTATTTACGCGAGCTCTGACCATTTAACATAGAGGCTTAGATTCGTATGAATACGGGGTTTAGAGTGTTAGGGGTCTGGAAGTTGGGCCACCCATGAATGTTGCCCGACTCTAACACGCGATAGGGTTTAGGGGATTCAGGGTTTAGGGCCTTAGGGGTTTAGGTAGGGTTTAGCTGGCGGTAGGTGTCTGAGCTTCAGCAAGCAAGGGCCATTAAAAACCCTAAATCCCAAGCGTTTTCGAGGCTTATATTCCTAGACCCCTGGGTTTCTATCACCACAATCACGACGGTGGTTGACAATGTTGAAGTTTTTGAACCTGAACCTAAATTAAACCAAACACTCCAACTCTTTCATGTAGGCGCGCGTACTTCTTACATTCAGGGTCCACAAGACTCCAAGTCCTTAATCCTACGCTCCAAACACCTAGCCCTCACCTCCCAAATCCTGAACCCTAAACACCAGTGCAGGTGGAAGCGGCCCACTTACAAAACGCCAATCCCTAAACTCTATAGACCACAAACCCCTACATAACTCTAAACTCTCAAGCCCACCCTCAACCCTAAGCCCCAAATCCCGGGGCTTCTGAGAGCCCGGGGCATGAGGGTACAAGTGTCCAAAGATACCCTAACGATGGAATCGACTCTGGTGTAGGCTTTGGGCTTTGGGGTTTCGGGTTTACGGTTGTGGGTTCAGGGTTTGGAATTTGCCTTTGGGGTTTTGAGTGTGGTGCTTGCTCTGTAGGGTTGTGGGTTCAGGGTCTGGGCTGTAATTAGGGTGTCTACGACTAAGGGCAGAAGGTTTAGGTTCAGGGTGTAGGGTTTACGAACAGAAAGTCATAGGATAGGTAGGAACATGGTATCAACAATGCCGTGATATGAGGTGAGGCTCTTTGATGCGTGCCTCAGATAACACTACTACATATGGTAACGGCAACGCTAGACATGTGCAGCCAAGTACTACGTTGAAGCCAACTTTCGGACAGACCCTACATCCGTTTCAGGAAGGTTCGGAATGGCAGGCGCACGACCGGCTCAGTAGCGCACTTGCACGTAGGCGGCCTCTCATGCATTGAATTATGATTCTCTTGAAGCTCCTAGAGCCTGTTTTTGGCTAGGAGGATTTTCGGTTTTGGGTTTTGGGTTTAGGGTTTCGGTTTGTGGGTTTTGATTGAAGACCTTGGAAAATAGGGTTTGTGGTTTAGGGACTTGGGTTTTGCGTTCTGGGTGGCTGCGCAACCTTGGAAGATGCCAGGAGTTGACCTGTACCTCCCCGAAACAGAGCCGTGATGTGTTCGGACGTGCAGTTGTTCAGTGTTCCCTGCAGTCTCCTTGTAGTTCCCTTTTGGGACTACCTTCGAGAATCCTAATTATCTATGTATTTAAACCGAAAAAGGAACTACAATGGAGACTATACAGCGGGCATTCCGGGTGTTGCAGTCCTGGTCTGCACGAGAAAAAGAGGAGCCAGGATGGACTAAGTAGGCTTTAGCCATGCCGCATCGGGATGTGTTTCGGAAATCAGCGGGCATTCCGGGTGTTGCAGTCCTGGTCTGCACGAGAAAAAAAGGAGCCAGGATGTACTAATTAGGCTTTAGCGGAAATCAGCGGGCATTCCGGGTGTTGCACTCCTGGTCTGCACGCGAAAAAGAGGAGCCAGGATGGACTAATTAGGCTTTAGCGGAAATCAGCGGGCATTCCGGGTGTTGCAGTCCTGGTCTGCACGAGAAAAAGAGGAGCCAGGATGGACTAAGTAGGCTTTAGCCATGCCGCATCGGGATGTGTTTCGGAAATCAGCGGGCATTCCTGGTGTTGCAGTCCTGGTCTGCACGAGAAAAAGAGGAGCCAGGACGTACTAATTAGGCTTTGGCGGAAATCAGCGGGCATTCCGGGTGTTGCAGTCCTGGTCTGCACGCGAAAAAGAGGAGCCAGGATGGACTAATTAGGCTTTAGCGGAAATCACCACCGGGCCGAAAGTTTCGACATGCAGCTTATAACATAGATGTATGCCGCGGAGAGGCGGAGAGCCCCAAGACCCATTTTACGTGGCCAGCATGGCGGAGTAATTACTTTCCGGGAATAGATTTATACTACTATATAGTTTCCGGTGGAGAGCTTTGCGGGGTTGTGCTAGGATTCTACGGGGGAAAAGCGGTGAACATGTGGTGATCTTTCAACTTTATGTTGTATGGCGAACTTTCGTCCTGCAGTAGTATAGCTAATTTCGAACTGTGAGAATACACGGTCACTCTGGTAGGGCCACGGGAAGGGGGTTTGCCTATGCAGTAGCTATGGAAAGGGTCTCTACTTGGAGGGTCGGGGGACTTAGTAACTGGTTATTTTAGGGACTTATAAGTACCATAACCCCAGTTAGGGTCCCTTTTAGGGTACTTGTAAGTCTACTTACTACCTACTTATTAAGTCCCCCGACCCTCCAAGTACCCAAGGGTAACCTCGGAATGAAGAGCGTGCCCTTTCTGGCCGACAGGGGGTTGTAAGAAAACCAAAAAACCCTAAAAAAGTGAATAAGGGCCTACTTTGGGTCCTAGGGATACATTCCCATATCCTTTTTTCAAGGATTTCAGGCTCACTGCTGATAGGAAGACGCATCTGGTTTCGGCGAGGCATCCCAACATGCCTAAGTCAAGGGTCCCGTCTCAAGGAATCACTAAACCCCAAAACCTGAAACCTAAACACGTCCCACTCTAAAAATGTGCATCACACAAAAGCGATACCGGGAAACGATGCTTTCTCAGTTGCTTTGCTTCGCTAGCGCAAGCCAGCGCGTTCCACAAGTTCGGGCCATGAAAGAAGTACATAGCGGAGAAGTCACCACGATTGTCTTAGTCCGTTGAGAACTACCCTACTGGGAAGGACACAGACACATGGGGCTCTTGGACACAGCGCCCTTCAGGACCACTCGGTGGGGAACGAGCACGACGAGAGTCCGCATTGAGCCGCAGTTCAATCAAGACTTGAGCTGTTGACTCCCTGTCCCTTGTTGCATGGCAAGAGGCCAAACAAGTCGTTTCTCTCACCCCCGACACCACCCCAACCCCCCACCCACCACCAAACCCCGAAACGTGCCAAACACCCAGGGTCACTGAGAGCTACAGTGCACAGCCCTAAATAAACCCACACCCTAGAAACCTCAAGCCCTAGACCTTCCACTGCAAAACCTCGAACCCTAAATGTCAACCCTGAAACCCAAAGCCCAACACCCCAACACCCCAAATCCTGAACCCCTATAGACTCGGGGAGCTGAGGACCCAGCACTTTCCTGTACGACAGTGGCTGAATCCCAAATGTTGACCCACGAGCTACTCTCTGCGGAGAGACCCAGACACCTAAGCTATGGCTTCTCTGACTGGTACTCGCGTTGCCCTGGTAAATCCTGAACCAACTCGACGGTAAATCCTCTAAAGCCCCAATCAAAACAGATACAAAACACCGAGGAAGCGCCTCACTTAACACAAGGAACCGATAATCCTAAACCCAAAAAAATGAACCCAAAAAACCCTAAAAACCCTAAAGAAAACCCTAAAAACCCTTAAAAACCCAAAAACCCTAAAACGCTCGGCCTCTGGAGGAAGATCCAGGCCGATATCTCCGTCGTCGAACACCGCCGCATCCTTCTCCTTGGTCGACAGGAGCTCGCACATGATGGTTTTAGCGTGTAGGGCTTAGGCACATGATGGGTTTAGGGTGCAGGGTTTAAGCACATGATGGGTTTAGGGCGTAGGATTTAGGGTTTAGGGCGTCTTCTTGCACAGTGCCTGGTAATCCATGCTAGGATGGCGCCGCCTCACCCTAGGATTTGTGAGTGGCGGCATATTGCACGTCAGGCGACCTTCTTTGGATGTGTCATAGAACTCGGTGAAACCGGAAGTTCTCTCAAACCCGCCCTCTGTGATGATACCGCATGTTAGCGCTTAGGGCTTACACCCTCAATGCCCACACCGAGCAGACAGGAAGTGCCTGGGCACCCAGTTATGGGTGGGAACGGCCCAAGGAATCCGGGTGAACAATTTAGGGTTTAGGGTCGGTTTAGGATTACGGCTCTACGGTTCCCAGCATCTTACAAGGAAAGAGATGTTTCTAAGCGGTCTCACTGTGTTTATGAAGGTATTGCAAAGCTGTTGCAAAGCTGTTGCAAAGCTTCATAGTCCGGCACCGCCATAAGCTTTACTGGAGGTCTAGGCCAAATTTAGGCTACAAAGGTTTAGGGTTGAGGGTCTACTCGAGCCTGTCACCTGTGTGCGCGTGTGTCTCTGCGTCTCGGTGTCTCGTTGTCTCTGTTTCTCTGTGTCTCTGTGTCTGTACGTATGCGTCTGCGTGTCTGCGTGCCTGCGTGTCTGCGTGTCTGCGTGTCTGCGTGTCTGCGTGTCTGCGTGTCTGCGTGTCTGCGTGTCTGTGTCTTTGTGTGACTGTGTGTCACCGAGTATTCGTGTTCTTGGCGGAGAAAGAGTTTCGGGCTGATGGTTATCTCTGGGAACCGAGGACCTCACGAACTCGCAACACCATCAGATGTTGCGCTCGTGCCAATGCACCATGCATTTTTAAGACTCTATTCAATGATGACCCCTGTTGCTGTTCTTCCTACTATGTATGACGTTGGTGTGCGCATAACTACTGACTACGCACAGGATTCAGGGTTTGGGGTTGAGGTTTTGCACAGCGCGAACCATACCTAAACCTCCCAAACCCCGAACCCTGCCAACTCTGAAATCCCTGAATCCCCAAAACCTAGAACCCAAACCCCTACGAGCCTGAACCCTAAACCCTAAATCCCTAAATCCCCAAAACCTAAAACCCAAATCCCCACGAGCCTGAACCCTAAACCCTAAATCCCTAAATCCCCAAAACCTAAACTGTAGAGCTCCACACAGCGCAACAGCCCAGGGCCATCGACTCACAATGAGAACCATACTGAAGGTTCATGGCGGGAAACGGATGCAATGCTCTTCATATACCTATACAGATGTCGACATGGATATAGCTGTAGCAGATATAGGGACAGATGCAGCTATGGACATAGACATGGCTGCAGCTCTAGATGAAGTTGCAAGTATAGATGCAGTTGTTGCCATACCTTTGGATCCAGATATAGTAGACAAGGTAAAGTATAAAGGATCCTAGCACTAATCACTAATCCTCCTAAAGCCGTGTTCCAACTTTCTGGCTTCTACTATAGATATGGGTGGTTGTCAAAATCATGGTCCCTTTTTGGGTCCTGATTGTAGTACGGCACCTTATATTTAGGGTTCCCAAAAAGGGACCATAACTTTGACCACCACCCAATCTGGGTAGACCCTAAACCCTATACCCTTACAGAATCCCTATAGATCCCTTTAAAGGGACCCTTAAGACAACCACCCATATGTAGATAGCAAGATGTGGAGAGAGATCTTGGGCTGCGAGGTTTAGGCCCTGGAGACTCGGATCTGAAGTTTAGTCTTTTAGGGTTTATAGGGTTTAGTGGGTTTAGTGTGTTTAGGGTTTAGGGTTTAGTGTGTTTAGGGTTTAGGGTTTAGTGTGTTTAGGGTTTAGGGTTTAGTGTGTTTAGGGTTTAGGGTTTAGTGTGTTTAGGGTTTTAGGGTTTGGGGTTTAGTGTTTTAGGGTTTAGGGTTTGGGGTTTAGAGCTTTAGGGTTTAAGGGTTTGCTTGAGGCTTGAGGGTCGGGCTGGCGCAAGTGCTGCGAAGCTTCAGGAGTGTTGGCCCCAGCGTCGGTGGAGCCTTCGTGGAAGGCCTGCGCGTCCTGGGCTCCAGGTGTAAGTTCCTGCTTGGAGGGTCGGGTACCCTAAAAGGGACCCTAATTGGGGTTATGGTACTTATAAGTCCCTAAAATAACCAGTTACTAAGTCCCCTAGGTTTGGGGGCTTCGATGATCACGTTTTGACCCTTGCCCACTTTCAGCCCTAAAGCAGTGACGGAGAAGTTCGGGTTCAGGGTTAAGGCTTGCGTAAACATGGGCTTGATTTGAAAGGAAACGACGGCCTACAGTTTCTGAGCCACAAGCACCCGAGACAGGCCCTACACTTCATGCTCTTAAATCCGTAACTACGATGCCCAGTAACCTAGGGATAAAAAGGGCTCTAACCCTAATCGCGGGGCCTGAATAGCTACCTGTCGGATAGGGTTGGGGAATCTATTGTGCGGTACTGCCCGACATACCAAATTTCAAAATCCTCGACTATACCACTTCTGTAGCCGCAGCTATGTTCGTTTCTCAATCCTTAAACCCTCAACCCTAGTGTACTTCCGGCCCAACTTCCAACTGCCGCGGAGCTCCAAGCTCTAAACACCCCCCGCTCGCTTCAATAAACCCTGGGACCCTGATCCCTAAACCCGAAACCCTAAATCCTAAACCTTAAACCCTAAACCCTAAACCTTAAACCCTACACCCTAAACCCTAAACCGTAAACCCTAAACCCTAGGCCCTGAATCCTGGACAACACCTCAGAGCTCTGAGATCCCGAGCTCGCAGTGCTCATTTTACATGTGGGTTGGGTACGGGCTTTCATACTTGGGATAGTCTTTGGGTTGATATTTTGAACTCAGGAACTGTGTTTCCGAACCGGAAATGCCATCGTGCGGACGATCAGTGCCCCTTCAAGCGATTGATGCACACGTGTTCCTCCTGCTCTTTGCGCGCACGAGCCGCAGCACCGGGCGGAGGCACATGCCAACTGGGAATTAGTCACCCAAACCCTTAATCTAAACCTAATTAGTCTCGGCAAAAGAAGTTGGCGTATGGCCACAGGCCTTAAGGCCGGCCTTAAGGGAATCCGGCTGCCTTTCCGAAAGGGGCGGGGTCACATCTACCTTTAGGGTTTAGGGTTTAGGGACATCTACTTCGGGGTTCTTGGAGGTTCATGGGTAGTTTTAAGTGGGGTTATAAGTCCCCTAATACGGGCTATAAGTATGGTCACCCTGCTTATAACCCTATATACTTATAACGACCCATGAACCTCCAAGTGCTCATTCGTACTTCTTAAGAATCTCGATTTCCTGAGCCTGGGTGGTCCTTGCCTGAAGCTGTCATGCTACGAACCTGACTAGGCCTAGGCTCGTTGTTCTTATTGCGGCCCCCTGTGTTGCATCCTTGTTAGAGTCCTTGCAGAACCCTGCCCAGAACCCCCTAACCACCCTCACCCCTAGAGCGTAAAGTCCAAAAAACACCAACGACCCCAAAAACACACAACAAAAAACAAAACACCCTAAATCCCTAAACCCCCCCAAACCGAAAATCCTTTGCCTCAATAGCCAAGCTGCTCCGTCTAGGCCATCGCCCTCTTTGGCAGAGGCCAATTCTTCGCAGGCACGGACTTTCACCGACAAGGGCTTCAGAGAGTCCTTGCAAGCGGAGGTCATCAGGTTCATGGGTTTAAGGTGCGGTTGGGTTCAGGATTTAGGGTTTCAGGTGTCGGATTTAAAGTTTAGGGTCTAGGGCTTCGGATTTAAGGTGTGGGGTTTCGGGTTTGGGGTTTAGCATGCTGTCGGGTTTGGGTCCCTAGGGCTGAGCTTGAGGCTTCTGGGGTTGATAAGGGTGTAGGGGGCGCGCGGTTTCGAGTTGCAGGTTTGGGAATTAGCCTACAGGCTGGATCCGACGAGCAGCTTTACTCCCCCTATGAGGCACAAATGTAATGCTGCTTGGTTAAAAGCCCTTGTGTGGAGATCCTCACAAAAAGAGCCAGAAGCGCGAGAAGGGACATGCAAAAGGAAATGTCAACTCAGTGACCTGCAGGCTTGTGCAATATATAGAACTTCGACGATTCGCCGACGCAGACCTTGACAGGCATGGCCCCGGCAGTAAATAGTACGGCACCCTTACATATCACCCCAATCTGGAGAACTACGCAAATCCAACGCTGAATCAAGAGACACCCAAACCCCTCTAAACCCTCAGCCCTAAATCCTGAATCCTGCACGCTAAACTCTCAAACAGGAATCCCTAAAGGAACGCCTGAAGGAACCCTTAAAGGAACCCCTGAAGGCACCCCTAAAGGAACACCCAAACGGAACCCTCAAGAGCTCCGCCGGGTCACCGATTGCAGCCTTCCGGCTACCTGCTTGGCCCTGAGCTCAAGATCTTCCTGTCAAAAAGCTGTGGATTCTATTTGTTTAAGGGCCTCTTTACCGTCCGCCCATGGAAATCCCACATAGAGAATGGAACTACTATCCTTTGGGGGTTTCGGTTTTAGGGTTTGGGGGTCTAGGGCTCAAGGATTTAAGGTTTTAGGGGTTTGGGGTCTAGGGTTTAAGGGCTTGGGGGGTTTAGGGCTTTACGGATTTAGGAGTTTAGGGGTTTAGTGGTTTAGCGCTGGGGGCTTTGGGCTTCTAGGGTTTTCTTTCAGGGCTCCCAGAAGGGTTTCTGTAAGGGCTCCTATAGGGAATTGTAGGGTTCAGCAGTGTGGGGTTTTAGGGCTTTCGCGCTTTAGGTTTTGTTTGAGTTGAGGGCGTAGGGTTTTGGGACACGTAGGCTTTGGGGTTTGGGGTCCTGAGGTGTAGGGCTTCAAGCCCAGAAGCACGCTGACCACACTGAGCTCAACACCTTCGCAAAAGACCTGTAAACCACAAAAAATCCAGCATAACACACTCTGATCACCATCTAATGCAGCTACTTGGAGGTTCATGGGTAGTCACAAGTTGGCTATAAAGTCGCCGAGTAGGAGTTTTAAGTATAGTTACCCTGCTTATAGCCCTACTTACTGTATAACTACCCATGAACCTCGAACTAGAATACATGAAGCTACTAATCTGTTCTGATCTTCTCCATAATCCTCCGGAGAGTCTGCAGTCTCTTGAACAAGCTCCCCATCACCTCAGCTCTCTGGCTCTATCCCGAGCTCCCCCAAACCCAAACACGGGCTCCCCAAACCCTGCCTAAACCCCCCTGACAGAAGAGTGGTGGGGTTTAGGGTCCTGAAAGAAAGCTTCTAGGAAGCCCCTACAAGCACCCTAGGCCCTAAATCTGTGGTTTGGAACTTCCGACACTCAGAAAGGTCCGAGGAGTCCGAAGCCTAAGCACAAAAAAACGCCCTCTTAATACTGGACCCTCTGAATCCTGACATTCAAAATCGGGTCCCCTGTTTTCTGAAACTTCGGGATACTGTTGCCGTCACTTCTGTGAGTCGGAATATCCTTCAGGCCCCAACAAGTTCAGGTTTTTGGCTGCACAGCCTGAAACCCGAACCGTCTATGACCCCCCCCTCCCAAAAAAACACACACACACACACACAAAACAGCTCGCCCTGAAAGCCCAGCCTAAACCCTAAACCCTGAATAACTCCAACGCCCCAAGCTCTGACAATTCTTGGCAAGGCCTGTGTTGATGAGTACATCTGAGGTACGAAAACCTCGGAGAGGAGCCACGAACAGCTTTGCGTACTCTCGACGGTTCGGGATCTAAGAAGCAAATTAAGCGTCACGGCGGGAGAGTCGAGAGTAGAGTGGTCGGATGGCTTCAAGTGTATGTAACCCGCTACGTAGATCTAAGACTTTCGTAAACCGACTACTGCTGCTGCTGCTGCTGCTGCTGCTGCACCAGCTGCTACTACTGCTCCTCCTACTGCCACCGCCGCTGCCACTGCCACTGCTACTTCTACTGCTACTGCTACCACCACTACTACCACTACCACTACCACTACCCCCAACGCCACCACCACCACCACCACCACCACCACCACCATCAGTATGACTACTACTACTACTACTACTACTACTACGACTACGACTAGTACTACTACAACTACTACTACTACTACTACTACTACTACTACTACTACTACTACTACTACTACTACTACCACTACGACTACCACTACTACTACTACTACTCCTCCTCCTCATCCTTCCTCCTCCTCCTCCTCCTCCTCCTGCTGCTGCTGCTGCTGCGACGACCTGCTACCACCACTACTACTACTACTCTGCTCCTACTACTACTACTACTACTACTACTACTACTACTACTACTACTACTACTACTACTACTACTACTACTACTACTCTACTACTACTACTACTACTACTACTACTACTACTACTACTACTACTACTACTACTACTACTACTACTACTACTACTACTACTACTACTACTACTACTACTACTACTACTACTACTACTACTACTACTACTACTACGACTACCTACTACTACTACTACTACTCCTCCTCCTCCTCCTCCTGCTGCTGCTGCTGCTGCTGCGACGACTGCTACCACCACTACTACTACTACTACTGCTACTACTACTGCTGCTAGTGCTGCTACTGCTACTACTGCTACTACAGCTACCACTGCAACCACTGCGACTAAAACTACTACCACTTCTACGACTGCTACTTCCAATACTGCCACTACTACTCTACTACCACTGCTACCACCACCACCACCACTACTGCCACGACCACTGCTACTGTGCCAATGAAACTGCCACTGCCACAACCGCTGCCACTACTGTACCACCACCACCACCACCACCACCACCACTACCACCACCGCTACCGCCACCGCTAGCGCTACCACTACCACCACTACTACCACTACTACCTACTACCACTGCTGCCACTCCTACCACAACTACCACGACTACCACTACTACCACTACTACCACCCCTACCACTACCACCACTACCACCACTACCACCACTACCATCACTACCACCACTACCACCACTACCACCACTACTACCACTAACACCACTACCACTACCACTACCCCCAACACCGCCACCACCACGACCACGACCACTACCGCCACCACTACCACTAATATTCAACAACGTGCAACGAAACAATCACTTAAGACACAACCTGCGCATAGACATCAGCGGAGCAGAGGCACAAACGTGCACAGAGAGCGAAAGCGGATTACGGCCGCGCAAAGCCACTGAATCAGGAAAATTCGACACTGGATTTCCAAATCACTGTAAATGCAGCGGCAGAAACGGTGCTGATCTCCTGGAAGACCGCTTTGATGTGCAATGCATACCTTCCATGGACTTAGGCTCGAGGTACGCCGTAGACCCTTAACCCTAAAACCCCAAACCCCTGAATCCGTAAACAGCCAAAACTCAAAAGCCTAAAGCACTAAAACTGGCTCCGGTCCACTGCTGAACGCGATTAACAGACGGCAAACAAACTTCAGATGAAGGATTCGCCACACCCGTGATAAAAGAGGGATAACTGCATCATCATGACTCGAATATACGAGATCGTAAGTGCTATGGCAAACAGCGGCCGCGTCACAGGCCGGTGAGGATAAAGGACAGCTCGATAACATGTTACACTGTGTCGATGTCGAAGCTCAAATGACCCAAGCCGACAACCTCAGGAAACAAAGCACCTCATCAACCAAGCACTTGCTTAGTCTAAGGAAGGGTTGAGTCCAGGTTGAGCTTGGGCGACATCGCGGGCGGGCCTTAGCTGTGGTGTGACGCACCGCCTAGAAACCCCTCGAGGCACGTCGCTTCTGAGGTAAGCCCTAAATCCCACACACAAACATCCTAAACCCCTAGATCCGAAGCCCTAAACTCCAAACGAACATATCACAATATCCAATAACAGTTAATGAGCGCTTTTACAGGTGTCTCAAGAATTATCGCAAGTGCTATAGCAACAGTGGTGGTAGCAATCACCACAATCACCAGCAGAATGAACTTGAACAAGCTAGCTCCCTCAGCCCTACAGTACGAACCCCAGCACCTCCAAAGGACCAAATCCTAAACCCGAGTCACAAACGTGCCTTAACACAAACCGAACGAGCACAAACCACCACTCAAAACACCCTGAACCCTAAACCCATGGAAAACCGGCAAGCCAGTGAGCTGTCAATGTAACCCCTGCAAACGCAGAACCAAAAAAAAACCGAAACCCTGTCAAACCCCTGAAAACCCTTACTCAACCCTTCCCCATCGCAAAATGAAAACTCCAAAAAGCCCTAAACACCCAAACCCCTAAACCCAAAACTCCCCCCGGACCCCGAACTCCCAGGGCCTCCTGCGTATTCGCAGGTAGACCCCTTATAGACCCCTAAGTGTTCCTTAAAGGAGCCCTAAAAGGAGCCCTAAACCTTAAATCTCAAACCCCAAAACACCCTAAACTCACACCCAGAGCCTCCAATATTCCTTAATTGAGGAATATACCTTAAATCATATTTGGGGATCCTACTATACTTTAAGGTATATTCCTGAATTTAGGGTTCTTGGAGTCTCTGGGCAGGGAGGCCTCTGCGTATTCACCTTCAGCTGCAGCTTGGAGCTCGCGCTATGGAGGTCTTCGAAGAAGCCGGCCTAAGAGGGCTTTCTTTAAGAGAAAAATTTGTGGGCTTAGGGTTTAGGGTTAGGGTTTAGGGTTTTAGGGTTTAGGGCTTATGGTGAACCCCAGAAAGTTGGAACATGGATTTAGGTTGATTAGTGCTGGGATTCCCTATACTGTACCTTAGGGGCATGAGGACGATGATATTCCAACTTTCCAGCATCTACTGTAGTGCAACTTCTCGATTTGTGCCTAAGAGGGGCTAGGGCTTAGGGCTTTTGTACGTGCAGGATTTAGGGTTTAGGGCTTTGGGCTTCTCAGGGTTTAGTAGGGCAGTTTGTGGTAGTTTGTATAAAGGTCATAAGTATAAAAGGGACGCTAATTGGGGTTGTGGTACTTAAAAGTCCCTAAAATAACCAGTTACTAAGTCCCCCGACCCTCCAAGTAGGGTTGAGGGATGCTCAGGTTCTTGCAGGTGTCTTTTTGTAAGGGGGTTTTGGGTGCGGGAGTTTATCGGATGCATTGTAACTGTGGGGCTTTAAGGCTTATCATCGGGTTTTCCGGAGGCTGCTTCTTTCGGGCTTTAGAAGGGTCATAGACTGTCTCAGGGTGGTAATCGCCGTCATGATTTAGGGGTGTTGGGATTTGCCGGATGTTTTGGGTTCGACCAAGAAACGAAGCTTAGTAAGAGTTCAGATAAGGAGCTGATGGCACCAAGAAGCGATCCTGCAGGAAGCGCATCGTTTCTGGGGCTTGAGATGTTGCTGTGCCGTAGGGCTTAGAGTCCTGAACCCTAAAGCCCCGACCCCACACCGAACCTCGTAGAGGTTCGGTGTGGGGTCGAGGGTTTTAGGGTTTAGGAGTTTGCAAGGTTCCAGGCGCTTACAGATTTCCAAAGGGTTCTCTGTGAGAGCCTGCATCGCTCTGGAAGTACTTCCTAGCTTGATGCGGCTCGAACCCCTACCCTCAACCCTAAACCCTAAAACCCTAAACCCTGGACCCCGAAACCATGAACCCCGAAACCGGTAAACCCTAAACCCGACACCCTATCCCCTAAGCCCGACGTGGTGCGGCCGGTCCGAGTCTGTCAGGGGCATGTTTGCTTAGGCAAGTTAATGTAGGAACCTGATTAAGAAACCCTGGACCTACAACCACAAAATAGTAGGATCCATACAAAGGGCCCTAATTTAAGGGTGGTGACTTTTTTTGGGCCTTTTTATTTTTTTTTTTTTTGGGGGGGGCCTTTTTTTTTTTTGGTGGTGCTTTCCTTGGAGTTCTAGGGAAAACACTCTTTTTTTGGTTTTCCTGATAACAACTATTTTCCTTCCCTATCTATCTATATATATATAGTATATATACTATATAAAGTATATACAAGTTCTATAGTATATATTGTAGATATATTGTGTATATAGTATATATTGTAGATATATAGCATATATAGTATATACAGTATATAAAGTATATATAGTATATATAGTATATAAAGTGTATATATAGTATATATAGTATGAAATAGTATATATAGTATAAATAATATATATATATATATATAGTATATATAGTATATATAGTATAGATAGTATATATAGTATAGATAGTATATATAGTATATAGTATATATAGTATATGTAGTGTGTATGTATATAGAGTAGAAATC